TGTGTATTTGGGGAGCCAGTGAGAAGTTGTGAACAATTGTTATGTTCTGTTAGACCTCAAGAAGCAGCTTCAGGAGTTAGTAGGCAGCTAACTTTTGGAGCCACACCTAAGAGCTGTGGGTGCTCGCAAAAATCCATGCACCATTAATTATTCAATATGCCCTTGAGAGAATAAAAGACACTTGGAAGTAGTTTTTACCTCCCATACAATCTCATAGAATCCTTACAGTGTGAAAACAAGCCCTTTGGCACAACAAGTCCACAACAACCCTTGGAGCATCCCACCCAGACCCATCCTCTATAACCCACCTAATCTACACATCCCTGAATGCTACGGGCAATTTAACATGGCCAATCCACCTAGCCTGCACATCTTTGGACTGTGGGAGGAAACCCGTTCAGACACTGGGAGAATGTGAACTGAGCCAAGTAAGAGCTCAGAAAACATTATTCATTGTTATGTTTAGTTCCCAAAGTCCCTTAGTTCCTCCACCCCACCCAGACTTGGACCTACCAGTTAATAGTGACGTCTGCATTTTTCAAAGCAAAATGTAAGGCAGTGCATTATTCTTTGTCAAACTTAATTTGCCAACTGTTTTTCTGTTCTGTCAGTTAAGGAGTGTCTCACTAATTTTTTGCAGTCCTCTTCCATATTGGCTGTGCCACATCCTCACTTATTACCCCAGCTTGGTGTCATGTGCAAATGTAGAAATTGTGTTTCTGATTTTCAGACGTTTGGTATCAAGTTCAAGCAGCCTAGGTTGGTTTTGCAATCTTTGCTTCTGGGAGTGAATTGATGCTCTAAACTTGTACAATCCATTGTTTACTCAATCTGGTGGTGATGTGTGGATCCTAAGTATCAAATAGCTGTCCAGCATGGGCCATTAATCTTTCCTGACTTGTACAGTCAGGATATCTTTGCTTCCTTTGATGGCTGATGTTCTGCTTCACTGTTAACTGTTTTCAGACATAATCACGCCATGTGTATGTGAGAACACATTGAACTGAAATTGTCTTATGAATTTCAAATGTATTCAATTTTACTGACTTTTAAATGTTGTGATTTTTCTAAGAAAGTCTTTTTCTTCCTTTTGAAAGAGATAATGAATGTTTATTTAAGAAAGGCTGGAAGGAGAATCCTGGGAACTATAAACTTGTGTGACATCAATGGTGGATAAGTTGTTGGAAGTGATTCTGAAAGACAGGATTTATGTGCATTTGGAGAGGCAAGAAATGATTAGGAACAGTCAGCATGGTTTTGTATGAGGGAAATCATGTCCCACAAACTTGCTTGAGTTTTTGAGGAAGTAACCAAGGAGATTGATGAGGGCAGAGTAGTAGATGTTGTTTACGTGGACTTTGGTAAAACCTTTGAAAATATTCTGCATGGTAGACAAGTTAGTGAAGTTAGATCGCATGGGATTCAAGCTAAGCTTGCTGATCGATACAAAATGGGCTTGATGGTGGGAGACAGAGTGGGTGGTGCTGGAGGGTTGTTTTTTTGGACTGTAGGCTTGTGACTATTGGTGTTCCACAGGGATTGGTACTGGGTCCACTTGTATTTGTCATCTCTTTGAACGATTTGGATGAGAATACAACAGGCATGGTTAGTAAGTTTGAGGATGACACCAAAATTAGTGGTATAGTGGACAGTGAAGAAGGTTATCTAAGATTACAAAGAGTCCTTGATCAATTGGGTCAATGAATTGAAGAGTGGCAGATGGAGTTTAATTTGGATAAATGCAAAGTGTTGCATTTTGTTAAAACAAACAAGGGCAGGATGTGTACAATTATTGATAGGGCCCTGGATAGTGTTGTAGAGCAGAGAGTCATAGGGTTTCAGGTACATAATTCTTTCAAATTTGTGTCACAGATAGATGGGGTGCTTAAGAAGTTGTTTAGCGCACTTGCCTTCATTGCTCACTTTTGAGTATAGGAACAAAAACAAGTTGCTGGAAAAGCTCAGCAAGTCTGGCAGCACCTGTAAAGAAAAAATCGAAGTTAACGTTTTGGGTCTGGTAACCCTTCCTCAGAACTGTATGCCAACAACATCAATAAGGATACCACCACGAAACTACTAGATCTGTGCCTCTTAACCCACTTCACCTTCAACGGCAACATGTACAAACAAATCAACGGAACACCAATGGGATCCCCAATCTCAGGATTGATTGCAGAAGCGGTAATACAAAGGTTAGAACGGACAGCGCTCCCCACTGTACAACCTAAACTTTGCGTCCAATAAATAGATAATACTTTTGTGATTATTAAACACACAAAACTAGAAGAAACCCAATGACACATAAACAACATCCTTACTGGGGAAAAATTCACAAAAGAAGAAGAGAACAACAACCAACTACCCTTCCTGGACATGATGGTTGAACACAAAAGCAACAGGGAACTCCAGACTAGCGTATATCAAAAGACCACACATACGGACCAGATACTCGATTACACTAGCAACGACCCCAACGCCCACAAACGGAGCTGTATCAGGCCCTATTTAAATTAGCCACAGCACATTGAGGCAACCCGGAACTACGCAAAACAGAATAGGAGAACC